TGCCCTTCTCCTCCCATAACTGTGTCATTTCTGTTTTAAGACAGATGTTGGCAATTCTGGATCTAAAACATGCTTAATGCAGCATTTCATGTCCTGCTGCTATTACACTGGAAAAAAGTGAAGTTGCAGAAAAGCACATCAACAGTCTGACCCTTCACTCCTCCAGTGATAGAGGAGCTCATTTTTTTCAAGGTCAGAAACGGGGTTTATATTGAGATGTTTGGTCACAGCACACTCTATTCATTCCTGTCACCTTGCTTTAATGAGAGCTTTCACTGTCTTTTTTGTAGTTTTTTTTTTAAGCCCAGCCTTCAGCTTGCAGCAGCATCAAGTTCTGCTTGTCATTCTGTTCACAAATGTCAAGTGAACAGAAGGACCTTTGGGCTAACATCTACTTAACTAGGTGTTCTGCTTTGTTGATCCTGCAAACCATCCCCAGAGCCTTCAGCCACCCCTACCAAAGGGAAAAATCAAAGAATTGCCAGCTTTTTTTCTCCAAATAACCCTGCATGGCATAGGCAATTACCCTTCATTTCAGATATGAATTCTCTGCAGTGGGTTCTGCATTCAATATGCTGCTGTTTTTAATTAGAATATCTGACATGGAAAGAATTAGAAATGGCATTTGCTTTTGCATAGCAAAGTCCCGTTGAAATGACTGGAACACCAAGACAAACACAATCAACACAGAACTCCTGCTAAAAACTCGAATAGGAGATTTTTGTGTGTTGCTTATCAACTTGTTCAGCTCAGCTGGACTACATGAAATTCAGGAAGAAATATAACAGCCTCTAGTATTAGCAGGGACAGATAGGCAGAAGAAAAGAAATGTATTCTCTCTGTTTGGGAAAGCTTGTCCTTAAGTGCCTTTATCTGTAACACGAGTTACAGTAAGGCAGGGGGGCAGGTTACAGAAGGAAAGCTCAAAATGAACAAAACAGTCCAAATGTGCCTAAGCTTACAACAGTGGTAATGTGCCATGTTTGCAGGGGTTACCCAGCTTGGCTGTCAGCCTTCAGCCGCTGCATGTGCCTCCTAAATAACAGCACAGGCTGAGGTGTCAGAGCACCGAGAGGCTGAAGCCTGACCGTAGTGGAAGTGGGCTTTTCCCAGGAATTCAGAGCTGGAAGGACAATGGTGCTTTCTGAGTTTGGATCCAGCCAGATCTGAAAGGTGTGCAGCCCCAGTATGCATCATCACATTGGTGGGGCAGTGTCCTTCAGCTGCCTGGCACACTTGGCCACTGAAAAACTGCAGGGAAAAGAGGCTCAAACAGCCTCAAGAATATCAAGGCCAAAAAGTCACATTGCCTTCACTGGCCACAATGACAGGTAGAAATGCACTTCTTAAAGTCTTATTTGGAAAACCTCACAGAGTATAGGGAGCTCAGTTTATCTGTCTCAGGAAGATGAAGGGCTGAGCCAACCCAGCTGGGATTAAAGCACTCACCCTGTTTCCTGCGATCTAACCTGTTTTTCATCATGGTGAAATACAAAGCTAATATCCAGAGCAAACTGGATACCAACACGCTGGGAGAGCAGATAAATCCAGATGTTTGATTTTGGCCTGTTGCTGTCTTCTGATTTCTCTCCTAAGGGCACAGTGGAGCACTTTGGTTTCACGGGAGATGGAAGGCAGTTTGTCATGGCAGTTGTTCCCAACACTCTGGCTGAGCAGAGTCTGGGTTTTTTTTGCTGTTCTTGAGTTTGGTTGTTTTTTCAAATGTAATGCCTGTTAGAGGGAAATGTTCCGGTGATGAGCAGGGGCTCAGCGTGGTTTGATTTGCACTATTCATCAAGGGGAAGCACAGCCAAATCCATCTTCTATACAACAACAACAAAAAAATATGTCAGAGCTCAGATAAAATGTCTGAATTGCAGTTGATTGCTGAGAATACAATTTTCTGAGAGGGAAAGTGATTTTCTTCCCCTGAACATACTTCGTATCCTCTGCTTTCAAAGGCCAGCAGACAAACTAAATTGCTTTGTGCTGATGATGTCTAAGTTATATATTTGTTCATTCTGGGGTTAGATCCTGATGTTGATTCAAGTAGATAACACTGGTGTTTCAAATTATGAAACACAAACAGAAGAGTATTAAAGCACTCATTGTGTGACCAGGGGTCAAGATAAACTAACTTCAAAAAATGACATCTGAAAATTTGTGGCTTTGACATTGGTGGTGTAAGTTTAGCCTTCTGTTAGTAGAACATATGATTCATCAGATAAATGTTAATCCCCCTAAGTTCAGATTTATGATGATAATAAACCCCTTTAAATTTGTCACAGTTGCCAGTGCCTACAAACTGTGACTCTTGTCTTATGAGATATTTACTGTGTATGCTAAATCAGATGGAGAAATTACAAAAAAATGCAATGTGTAGCTATATAATTAATGATTTTTATAAAATGACTTTACAGAAGAGGAAGTAACTAAAGCTGCAACTGTAAAAGTGCTTCTATTGAACTTTCAAGTGTACAGTTTCTGCTTTCCTTTGCAAGCCTTTGTCCGAGTTTTCTAATTGGCATCATGGTTATTGTTTTCCTAAGAATCCTAAGGCCTCCTCTCAGTATTTTTCTTCTGTTTAGACACTCATTTACATTAAAACACCTATTTAGTCTGAATGTAATGGTATTCTTTGTCTCCATCTAAAAGGCCGTTTCTAACTGAAATCATTACTCCATATAATTTTAAAATTGGTATCAATGAGATATTTACAGATACTTAATTCCTTATTTTTTAAGTTTGAAATGCCCAAGACCTTTTCTGCTTAAGTACTTAGTAACAAATGTAGTATTGAAATTAAAACTGTGTAAAATTCTTGTTGTTGCTCTTTGAAGGATTCTTAATAGGAAAATAAGCAGAATCTTGAATCCATGTAAGTCTTGGAAGTCAGAACTTCTATGCTGAATCAATAGGCATTTGTAAACTCGAAATTTCATTGATTAATTAATCTGATTTTGAATAGCCCCTTTCTAGCAAAAGGGGCATATTATTCTAGGATATGTAGCTGATTAGAATTCTCATTTTACTACATTTAATTCAGAATCCAGACAACACTGGGCTCTGTTATATGTTCACTGGGTTCTGTTCATATGTTTTTACTGGTATACTTCAGATTCTGCTATAAAAATTAGCACTATTATTCAGGATAAAAAGCTATTTTTGACAGTGACTTGATTTGTGAAGTAACATAAAATCACTCAAATTGTATGCAAGAAGTTGTCACCTACCTCTGTCAAAGTCCTACTTATTAAACTCTTGATCATAGTAACTTTTAATGCTTGCTCTCATTTCTAAAAATGTTATTAAGTTCAGATTAAATCATGACTATTTTGCCTGCATTCTGATAACCCTGCTGGGGTTTTTTGTTGCTAATAGACTGGATAATGAAACAGGATTGGTAAATCATGTGAAACCTAGCTAAACCTCCAACATGGATTTCATCTCCTAACTTTAAATATTTTCATCAAGTTCTGGTGTGGGACAAGTTCTTTTAACTATATTCTTTTGCCAGGCTTATTTGGCCTGATGTGGAAATTTTGACAACCATCTAATCCATCATGTGTCCTGCTGACACACATTCTGGGTCACTGCAGGATCTCCTCAAAACAGCACGTGTAGAAGTTACTTGTGAAATAGTAATGTATTATTAGAAGTTATTGCTTATAATATATATACATATATTATATATATAATCTATATATGTATAGAGATGTAAGGGTTACAACTCACTCTTTCTTTGGTTCTGAAATACAGAGTCTGTCACATCCCCTCGTTTTGGAA